GAGGCAACGGTCATATTGCTTCCTTAACCAGCTCATGGTGTGTGAATGTTATAAAATGGTCACTCAGATATATTTTTAAATGTAATGTTATATAAGATGATCATGTGATGTGTACAAACTATGGTGAAAAGTGCCAGTGGTAGTAACTGTGTAAAGTCTCTAATTCGCAACATTAATTCTTTTGAAATACACAGCCTTCTGCCTCTGTATTTGGAGTTGTCAGTGCAACTCATCAAAGAAAACTGCCTAATATAAAGATCATATATATGGTAATAATTTCCCTCTTTTGTAGTCTGCACAAGATCCATAAAAGATTGTATTTTTATTACTATTTAAACAAGTGATTAAATTTAGTCTGCACAGTGAGCAAGAGTTCACATGCATTCTTTTATACTGCTGGATTTTGTTGTGCATCATTTAAAACATTTTGTATGTTTCTTCTTATCTGTATACAGTATGTTCCTGAATAATGTTTATTTGTCAGGAGAACTGTGAGAAATAAACTATGTGGATACTGTCTGTTTATATTGTAGAATGCCTGTTGTGACTTCCTTTGGTTGAATTTGGATTTTTTTTTTTTTTTTTTTTTTTTTTACTGGTGTTAAAACCGAGTTTTTTTTCTTTTTTTTAAAGAATTTGCTTCACCTATCTGTCCTAAAAAGAGTAGAGACTCTACTATAGAAAAGAGGGTGAACTTGAGAAGCTCTGTAAAAGATGGTAATGTTTTCACTCAGTGTGTGCTGAAACACTAAGTTAAACTAAGTTACAAAAGAACATATACTGTGGTTAAAGAAAAAGGCAATTGTGTTCAGATACGAAAACTAAACAGGTTGAAAATTTTACTCAATTCTTTTTTATGAAATAAGCCCCCCATGTATTTAATATAAGTAGGTGGTTTTTGAAAATCACTGTATTCCCTGGAAATTATTGTTGACTCTTGGAAAAGACAGTATACATATTGATTACTTATTATACTGACGCAGTATTGAGTCTCCTGTTGTTTCTAATTTTAAATTAAGGGAACATTATTTACTAGTCCTCTTTACCACATTGTAGGGTCCTAAAATCATACCCTGAATAATTTTAATTCAGAAAAATAATATAATTTTAAATATAGAAATATGAGAATTTTAACATAATATATTAATTAAAGATTACTGATCATGTTGATAAAGTATATTGTTATCAGAAAGAAAAAGGAAATGGACTTGAGCTTAACTTCTCAACCTGGAATTACGAGTTGGGGGAAGAAGAGGGGCTTCATTAGAATTCTGAGCATTTTGATATTAAATGTTAAGTGAATATACCAGAAGATCTACCTTCGGCTTGTACCAAAACAGTAGCACTTGATGGTAACTTCTGTAACTTCTGTGTTTGTATAGAAGTAATACCGATTAGTTTTGGAGAACCATTCAGATCCATTCAGAAATCCCACAAAGTATGAATATGCTTTGGAAGAGGGCTGTGAGTGATACAGTTGTTAAGTAAATGGAATAGACAAAATAAATCTACTTAAATGTATTTTTCAAGGGCAAAGATTTGGAGAATTTTGAGTAGTAAAGAGGATTATTTTCTGCTTAAGCAAAATGTGTGTGTTTTGCATTTTTTCAGCTCCAAGCAAATAGTCCTCATAGCTTTAAAAGGGTTAGGAGTAGTGGTAGGTAATGTGTTCTTGTTTTAATTTGAGGACTGCAGGAGTGGGCAGAGCTCTCATTTGCTAGTAGGCCTTCCACGTCCTACAAAGAAGTATTAGCTGTAAGAGACAACAGAGACCTACTTGTTAAAGCACTGCTTATTAAGTAGTACTAGTTGGTCAGAGGTAGTATTTCCTGAAATAATGTGCTCAAGTTATTTGATAAGAACTGAAGGAACTTTTAATGACATCTAAAGCCACAGCTTTAAGGTTTTTAGGCAGAGGAGGTTTTGACTGCTGTTGATGTGCACTTAATAATAATAGCAAAACACTGATACAGTGCTTACTATGTGCCAAGCAAGCATGTAGTAACGGATTTAATTCTCACAACCTTATGAGGCAGGTTCATTTACTCTGTTTTCATACGGGGAAATCTAGCCAAAGAGGTTACATAATTTGCCCAAGGTCATATAGTTAGCAAAGTGGGGATGCTTGGATTTTAACCTAGACAGATTGCTCCAGAGTCAGCGTCTGCCTCATTACCCTATTTACCTGTGTGTCAGGCATCACTAAGGTGATGGAGCTGGAGGTGTGCAGGGGTTGACTTTCATGCATTCTTCCTGGTGTGGTGTAGTTCCCAGAGTACAAACCTGAGCACATGTCCAGGTTTATAGCACAGAACGGAGAAGCATATCTGTGGATAAGGGAAAAGCACCGAAATAGTCTCCCATGATGACTTAGACACACACACGTTATAATTTGCATATCCTAATTTGGCAGCAGACATGTGACCATGAGGCTTTAGGCACAGTTGGAACTAAGACTTGTGTCTCCTGCCTCAGGTAGAATTTTTTTCCAGGCATATTTGGTGCCTCTCACTTAACCTAATAGTATGCCTTGTTTGTTTTTGAACACAACAATTTTTGGAGGTATAAGAAACATTAAAAAAAAAAAGAAATAGAGAAAGTAGTACATCACATGTAGTAAAGATAAATGTTTTGTGAAATGGCTTTTTTAGTTATAATGTGGCATGCTATATAGCTACTTTTCACTGTGGATAGCAAAGTTGGAAGGCCATTGTTGTAGGTGCACCATTCAGGGTTGGAAATGTCCAGATAACAAGTAGGCTCTTTCACAAGTTTATAGAGGCATTATCCCTTTTAGGCTGCAAAGTATTTATTTCTTACCTGGATGAAAAATGTGTTTCTGTTTAGTTTCCAGAAAAAGAAACAAAAAAAAATTTTTTTTCACAGTTAATGTAGTTTATTAAGTGGATTTTTGAGAGTGGTGTCCCATTTAGCTCCATGAGGACAGAGACCAACCACATCTGCCTATTACTAGGGCCTGGTTCTTAAATTCTCAATAAATATTTTTGGCAGTACAACCAGTGTTTTGGTGAGTTACATTTTTTTCTCTCTAGGAAGGTAAGAGACACCTCCTGTGTCTGAGCGTGTCTATGGGGACCCGCAGAGGGCTTACCTCAGGAGATCGCCGTCACAGGGCTCTGTGAGGGCTGAAGAATTGTGTCTTGTCTTATCTGGAGGATGTGGTTACCTTGGTGGCCGGGAAGATATGGGTTCTCACTGGGACCTCAGTTAGGCCATGGTTTTAGGCTACTGTAATAGAAAGGGCACTAGAATGGAAATTCTGGGTCCTAGTGCCGATTGTGGAAGTGAGGCACCCAGTAAATGTGGACAACCACCTTTTACTGAGCACTAGACACTAGTTAATAATTTACATGTATTACTATTTAATCCTCATAACACTGCCATAAGGTTCCTTACTATTATTATCTCCACTGTATAGATGAGAAAACTAAGGTTTAGAGGATTAAATGTTAGCTTCCAATAATTCCTGTGTGTGGGACTGAGCATACAAAGCCTTGCCGTTGTGGAGCATATTAGTTTAATTCAGAAGACCAACAATAAAAAAATGTAGTTTTAGGCAGAGATGAATGCTGTGAAGAAAAATGATGGAAGAATGGGGACCATTCTGTCATTTTAGAAGGAATAGTGAAAAAGCACATCAATGATAAGGGTCAGTATAAGCAGAGACCTGAATGGATTAACCTTGCAGATACCTAGAGGAATAGGCAGGAGAATAACACGGGTCCTGACCAGTAAAGAGCTTGGCTCGCTCAGGCAGTATTGGGTGGGCTGTTGTAGCATTAGTCAAATGAGCAAGAGGAGAGAGGTAACTGATGGGGTAAGAGGGTACAGGGGCAGATCAGGTGAGGCTTTGAAAGCAGACCATTGTAAAGGAGTTCGGATCATGTTCTGATGTCTATGTACACACAAGCTCTTCTACAAGACAGAGACCTCTAAGGTCCCTTCCTACTTTAAAATCCTATGACTTTAAAGTTGTGATGTCATTTCAAGCCATTTAGATCAGTAACGTGCTCTGGCAGTAGTGTAGAAGACTTGATTTGCACCTCTAGATACTCTCCAGTGGCAGAGCCATTTAGCCCTGCTGATATTTTTTCAAGAGTGCAGCCAGCTCCAGTTTGCTGCCCTGATAATCTCATTTCACTTACCCAAGCTGTCAAAGCGATGGTGAGCATGGACTGTGTTTGCCAATATGTGCTACGTGTTTCAAAGAATGTTAATCCCTACAAAGAGTCAAGTCATTTTGTGTTTTCTGGTACAACTGATAATTTTCACCCTGTAACTGTCTTTTAATTTGCTCAAATACTCCTTGTGCTCCCCTATAAATTGTATGACAACTTGGGGTAGTAATAAAGTATTTGACAACTGTGTGAATGGTAGGAACATGCCCCCTTTTGTTGATAGAGGCATAATTGTAACCAAAGAAGTTTAATTTCTTCTTTAGCAAACACTGACATTTCTGTTTAAGAATGACTGCTAGAAAAAAAGGAAATAACGAAAATTACCATGTATCATGAATATACTGAGAGTTCTTTCTGTAATAGCTCAAAACTGATCTATGGCCAAAATTAAAACCATATGAGCATATCGTAAATCTCAAATATTACTGTGTTTGCTTCTAATTCTGTTTGGAATAAGGCTTCAAATGCTTTCCGGAATGATGTGAGTTACAAATAAATAGAAAAAGCATTATCATGTGTTCCATTTACTTTATTTGTACATATATTTCAAGAAAAAAATGACTTTAAAAATACAGCTTTGGCCCAGAAATGGATTCTTATCTGCACAACCATTGAAGAAAAATAATCATGCAAACGGAAACTATGGTCTCTTGTAGTGACTGAATAGAGGAAGATGCAGTTACTCCAGTAGAATACATAAGAAACTCTGATTTTGGCAACTGATAGCACAAAAAGGAACCCATACTTCACTGGTTTGTTGCAAGGAAACAATTTTACATTTCGGTATGATAAGGTTTGCGAACCCCTGGAAAAGGCCCGTAGGAAACAAACAATAGCATCAGGACCTGTTAAGCATTGTGTACTGACATGCTCCTCCCACCCACATCAGCTTTCTTACTGTAATTCTTAGTTGTCTGGCAACAATATTAAGTAAATAGATGATCACTTAAAATCAAAACAAGTTGACATTAGTCCAGTGAATGCAATAATAAACCACCTTATGCTTTTAAATTACATTTGGTTCGTGTTGATTTATAATTTCCAAAATATACTACTAGGTATAGAACAGGTCAGTTTTCTCCAGTTTGTTCTCTTAGCCATTATGATAGCATTCCAAGTAGCTAGATTCATAAAAATGAATAGAGAAGTGTTACTGGTGACTAATCTGGGTTTTGCTGTCTTGGAAAAGCTATACAGTTTCACATTTTTGCCTTAGGGTTTTCAAATTGAATCAGATTTCTAATGAATAATTGGTATCGTCAACCTGATCTCTGGCTCTGAGCGACTTGAGGAAACAGTTACCAGAGGAAGATGCCCTGGCTTATTCCCCCTCCAACCCCCACCCAATATGAAGGGCCTTCACCAGGCAACAAGCATGTACATCATCGCGAGAGGAAGGAAGATAGGATGGGGAAGTTAGGGATGCTGACTGCCTGTTTGGTGAGAGGAGAACCCAATGATCAGACTCTAGCAAGTCCTGAGGGCATGACTGACAAGACGCACTGCACTGCTGTCCTCATTCTAACTTAGCTCTGAGGTGCTACCTGCAGAGAGAAAAGTGCGTGCTGCGAGTGCAGACAGCTGTCTGAACTGTGAAGAGGTTGGGTAATGCCAAATACACCATGCATGGTTTCCAGACGCCTCAGACAGTTCAAGCTGGGAAGCAAACAGCAATGTCAGGATTTGAAAGGGACACAAAAAGTTTAACCTGAAACATATTGTTAAGGTGTGAACCTTTTAATGTTTTCCTGTCTCCACTCTCCTTAATGTACATGCATTTGTCTTCAGAAAATAGAGTCAATAGCTGTGCAGAGTTGAAGAAAAACTTCCTCTGGTGTCCCCTCAGCATTGATCTGTATTTAAAAGGGAAAAATAAAAGGAAGTCTTAAGAAACGTTTGTTAATAAGACCATTTTTAATAATAATCTATAACTTGCCCAAAATTTTAATAAGACACCAAAACCAAAAAGGTTAAAAAACTATGTGCCTGAATTAAAACAACAATGTATACCACTACATGCCTATTAGAATGACCAAAATCCAAAGTACCAACACCACCAAACGCTGGTGAGGATGTGGAGAAATAGGAACACGCTCAGGCAGTATTGGGCGGGCTGTTGTACTCCTGATGGGAATGCAAAATGATGTACAGCCACTTGGAAGACAGTTTGTCAGTTTCTTAAAAAGTTAAACGTTCTTACCATGTAATCCAGCAATTGTACTCCTTGGTATTTACCCAAAGGAGTTGAAAGTATGTCCACACAAAAACATGCACAGGAGTATTTAGGAGCTTTACTCATAATTGCCAAAACTTGGAAGCAACCAAGACATCTTGCATTAGTTGGATAATCAACCAGACAATCTATTTAGTGCTCAAAAGAAATGCGCTATCAAGCCATGAAAAGACATGGAAGAAACTTAAAATGCATATTACTAAATGAAAGAAGCTAATCTGAAAAGGTTACATAGCATATAATATTCTAGGAAAGGGAAAACCATGTAGACAGTAAAAAATTGGGTTGTGGGGAGAGAAATGAATAGGTGGAACACAGGATTTTTGTGGTAGTGAAACTACAGTGGTAGATACATGCCGTACGTTTGTCAAGACCCATAGAAACTGGACTTTTCTCTGATCATATGTTGATGTAGGTTCAAAGATTGTAATAAAGGTACCACTCTTGGTGTAGGATGTCAATAGTGGAGGAGGTTATGGGTATTTGGGGATGGGTATATGAGACCTCGGTTTTGCTGTGAACCTAAAACTGTTCTCAAAAATAAAGTCTGTTTAAAACAATAACAACTAGGTGCCCTGTTGAAGTATTGTGAAGTGTCATGGAAAGATGGGAATTAGTTGAAATGAGATTTGTGAGTGTTCTGCAGCATTTGGAGCAGGGTAGGTAGGAATGAGGATAGAGGTGGAGGGATGTGGAGCAAAATGAGGGGAAGGGTTGTAAAGCAAAAGCTGGGACCTCAACTTGCAGGTGTGCCAAGGACAGAGTCCACCTGGGGGTGGTTGATACACCAGTGCAAGGAGCCAACAACAGAGGACATTGGGAGAGGGCTGATTTCCTGGGCATGAAGGCACTACTACCTCTTGCTCTCAAAATTTCCTAACATGCCAACCACTGAGATTTGTCCCGTCACACGTAACATCCACAGAGAGCAGAGGCTTGGTGGTCCACATGATGAGACTCGTGGGAAGGGAGGAGCGAGTAGTGAGCTTGTTCAATGCAGCTTTTTCGGGCTTTATCTTCAGAGGTTTTCATTTGGTAGGTTTGGGCTGGATCTTCTAAACTGCGTATGTAACAAATTCTCTAGATCAGGGGTGTCCAACACAAATTGTATGTTTATGTAAAACATGAGATGATTTTGTGATTTGCTTGTTGTGATGTACTTAATGTGTGGTCTAAGACAACTTCTTCCAGTGTGGTCCAGCGCCACCAAAAGGTTGGGCTGCCCTGCTCTACATGATCCTGACGTGAGCCTTCTTGGACCCCACTTCGAGAAACAATGATTTCTTCAACTCCTGTCTACATTCTTTGGGCAAACTAGCTTTGACTTCACAACACTAGAGATTCACTGATTCCAGTGGTAGAGTAAATTCTTAAAACGTAACAAAATACATTTGAATGTCCTAGAGAATATATACATCAATGTTTACAGAAACACTGTAATAGCCCCAAACGGGAAGAGCTGCTAAAGTCCATTGGCAGTAGATGGATAAATAAATCATGGCATAAACTCCTGCCTGAATGAGGGCAGTAGGAGGGAGAGAAGACAGCTTGAGAAATGGAAAGAAGGCTGCCACTGAAATGGTGCCTGAGTATCAGTGGGGACCAAGAAGGACACCCCGTTTCCGGCTTGAGCACCAGGGGGTTCCTCTAAAGGCCAGAGAATGTGGGAGAAGCAACACGTTTCAGGGGGAACAGATGAGCAGTTAAGTTTTAGACAAGTTAAGGTGCCTGAGGAAACCAAGGAGTGATATCCTAAGTATATCTGACTTAAAGTCTTAGCTCTATTTATAAAATGAAATGTTCCATCTTTAAAAATAAAAATTGTGGCATAGTCATATAATGGAATACTGAAGTAATGGGGAAAAAAAAACAAAACTAGAGCTACATTCAACAACATGGGTTAATCACAAAATTGAGGAACAGAAGCAAGTCTCCAAAGCATACCATATGACTGAATTCATAAGGTAAAAAAAACATGCAAAGCTAAGTAAGAATCTGAAAAGTTAGAATCGTGGTCACTTTTTGGAAAGAGAACAGAAGATGTGATCAGGAGACATGGGGGTAGGGGGGAGGGGACCTCTGTGATGTTCTATTTCCTGACCCTTGTGGTCATGGCACGTGTTCATTACTGTTCCTCAAAGTGTGTGTTCCTTGTATGCAGTCCTGTACATATACTTCTCAAAGAAAAAATTAAAACTGAAAAATATTTAAGCCCACCTACCCCCCATAAATGTGTCATTCAAAAGACTGCCATCTGCAAGTTGTCTTCCTGGCTTGAGGGTCTCTGTCTGGGGGGCAGGGTCTTAGACTTCGTCATGGTTTTTCCCTCATAGCACCTTGCCGATTGCTTTAATTCACCCTCCTCTTCCTTTCAGCCAACAGACATTTCCTGAGTGCAAACAATGTATTATGTGCGGAGGTACCAAGATGAGCAAGACACCACAGTCCTGCTCTCAGGAGCTCATAGCTCAAGGGCAGAGACAATTAACCAGAACTGACACTATTAGGACAAAAGCTTATAAGCTCAGGAGCTAAGCACCTTACACAGTCTTGGGAAGGCACAGAAGCTTCCTGAGGAAAATAATCATAATCATCCTTTAAAATAATAAACTTTACCACTACTGAAGCCTAAGTGCTTTTTACTCATTGATTTACTTAAAAAAAAAAATCACTTCCGCCCACACTTGACAACTACCCTGGTGTGCGTGCTCCCCCCCCTTCCCTCCCTCCTTCTTGGAGCCCATTTGCTGCCCCACCATCTGGACTTTATATAAGGGCATGGGATTCTCTTCGAAAACCCTGCAACTTGATTGAGAAACAAGGGCTAACAAGCACAAGTGCTCAAAGGGCAAAACTTGGTGTTTTCTGAGGGCTTGGGAGGTGCGGAAGGCTTTAGCTGGACCATTTCCCATTTTTCCGTTTCCATCCCAAACCGCACTACTCATTTTGCTTTGTGGCGTACATATGGGAGTTATTTATTTAATTAAATTTTTTTTAAAAAGCTTCTCATTGTCACTCAGCCACGTGCTGTGCTGTGAGCCTCTGTGGAGCCCAAGGACGTGAGGAGATTTAAAGACAAAAATCAAATAATTGGGCTTTCTAGGAGGAAAAAGCAGCCTTTGACTTAAGTGAGTGGGAAATCTATGAAGCTATCTGGGATCCTCAATCCCAAAAAGCACAGTTCTGAGAATAAAATTCTAGAGGCAGTGAGGCAACTTTGAAAAAAAAGTCATAAAAAGCGTTTTGTGTATGCGGCGTGTGCATGTTGGGAAAAGTATGGATTGGCTTTTTATGAAGCAAAAGAGCACCCAGTTAAACTGGTGGGGCCAAAGCCTTCTGTCTACACTCCAAATTTTTCCCTCAGTTCTCCACAGATTACCTGGACATTTCCTGAATCTCAGTGTGAATTCTGCCCACTCATCTAATTCCCACATGGGAATATTTTGGGAGAACAGTATGTGGATTTTCATATGTAACTGTGTAACTCCAGGGAAACGGAAAGAAATCCCACTTACTAAGTGCTTTCTAAATTACAGGAACTATTCTCACTGCTTACAACGTCAGTTAATTTAAACCAGCTAATGTTTAACATCCTTAGTGCACAGATAAAAATGCTGTGTAATTAGCATATGGATTGTTTACTGTGAAGCGGGGTTACAACTTGAAAATAAGGTGTCTTGTCACATACAGTAAATTTTTGCTCCATAATCAATGCTTGTATTAATTTACAGCAACCTTCTTTTCCTATGAATAGGAAAAATAAGTTTCATCATGTCCTTTTCCCAAAAGATCTCCAGTTCTGAATCATCAGAGTCAGAATGTATGAGGTTTTAATGTGTTTCACTGAAAGCTAGGTAAGCGGATTTGCTTCTGACTTTTAAGAACTTGCCCCTTTTGGTCTGAGACTTGATGTTTTTAAACAATGTCCTGACTGGTATACAAAACGATTTTTAAAAATAAAATAGCTAAAAGCAAGTGAACAGGAAATATGGTGAAATTTCTGAGTTTTCACCTGACTTGTGAAGCAGAGCGGTCAGTCCTGGGAACACTGCTAAATCAGGAAAGTAGCCACGCCACTTTTGGGGTTGTGTGTTATGCCTTTCTTCCTCTTTAGTTCTATGTATTTGAAACCATAAAACAGTTGGCTGCTTCAAACACTGCGCAGACCTAGTTGTGTTTTTCCTGAATTTTCCCACACTTGAAAAGATTGCTTGATTTTTAGTTTTGCTTTTGATGTACTGGCACCATGGGGCTTCTGGGACAATTGTGAGCTGTCACAGAGCTGTCTTCCTCCTCCTTCCTCTCCTGATCTCATCCTCTGTGAAAGCAGAGCTTCATACCACGAGGATCCCTCACAGCCAGGGGACAGCAGCGGGGGCCCAGCCAAGGCAGGTGTCCTTAACAAGCAGCACCTGGGCACCGTTTGCGGCCAAACCTTAGCTGCATGTTTCAAATTTAAGGTTATGTGAAGATGTCTCCTGGGGAATCACCATTTTACATACCTGGTCAAGCCATGCATTTCTCATTCACAAGGCCATGAAAGGAAGGACTATATATATACCTTTACTTTAAAGAGATTTAAGGTCAAGTGTTAGCAACAATACGAGGGTGGATTAACCT